CCACGCGGTCTTTTGAGATGTCTACTGTCTCAGCTATCTCGCGCACCTTCAATCGGCGGTCTGCCAATACGAGATCGTGGATTTTTGTCATGTTATCCTCCGTGGTAGCCGTTTTCGGGGCACCTGGGCGTGGCTCATCAAAAACCGACGTGCGACCACGTTGAAACTCGTTAAACCAATTTTTGACGGTCGCCATCGAAGGAGAAGAGTCACCGTACACAGCATCCAAGCGCTCTTTGATTTCGCTGCGCGATTTTCCTTCCAAAAACAAGAATCGAATCACCGACCGATATTGCTCTTTTTCCATTTTTCTAAAATGCGCGGACACGCCCGCTTCCACACGCGGTCAAAACAAAACTACGAGTCCGATTCGGCTGAAATTTCGACAGTAGCCGTCTACGAGAATGTACTACACGATAGTAAATTTCTCTTGCGATAGTGGCGCTATCGGGCGGTGAGGCTAAGTACTTATCGGACCGCCCTCGTATATTCCACACATAATGGCATACATGGGCCTTTCAAATAAAAAAAGAATTTCGTTAATACCTCACACACAGTTTGTTCCATTGTTTATTCCATTGCAACATCGACCCGTCCTTATTGAAAAACCCTTTACAAGACTCATGCTGCGGTCGTATTGCAAACGACGGTAGAACACATAACTTTACGATAGGTCGCTTAAATTCGGACTTGGCTGTCTTGACGGTAACGACGCGAGTCAACCCGTCAAGCGTACCGGGATGACATTGAACGATCCGGCCTAACTCCCATTTGCAAGGAGGTAAAGTCTCGTTATGGATCAACACCAGTTGGCCAGTCTTAATCGGAGGGTAATTTCTACGTCTTATTTTTCTTAGTCTGCGACTTATTTCTCTACTGCAACGTATTAAGGTAGTCATTTCGGCAGAGCTTCCAAAAGCGCTCGGTCATTTGACGAACGAGTGAGGCGATTTTCATTTACATCGAACAATGAAGGCGCTGGGCTGTCAGTGATCACCGATCCGATCAAAAAATGACCCGGAGTGAGGGGATTATAATCTTCAAATGAATCTGTAAGAGGCGCAATCGGGCGAGAATTGAGGCAAGCCTCAATTTTACAGAGTAATGTCGAGAACTCCTCGAACGTAAGCGTGTGTCGTCCAAACACCCGACGCAAGTAGTGTTTGACACTCTTAATCCCCGTTTCGCAAATTCCGCCAAAATGCGGAGCTGCAGAGGGAATAAAGTGCCATGGCACCCTATCACTGGTTGTAATATTCTGAAAATTTGGATCTCGAAGTGCGGTTTTATACGCGCGGGCTAATTCGCGATCAGCTCCGGTGAATATAGTACCGTTGTCGGAGTAGATCGATTGTGGGAGTCCGTGGCGAGCGCAAAACCGTGAACGCGTGAACGCGCAAACGCGTTGAGAAAAGTGGCAGTCGAATAATCAGCCACTAATTCTAAGTGAATCGCTCGCGTAGACAAACAAATAAACAACGCGATATAAGCCTTTCGGGCGGTAATACCTCGACCAGCAGAAGCTCGAACGTGCACTGATCCAGCGTAATTGACTCCGCAATGTAGAAACACGCGAGTCGGAGCCGTCACGCCCACAGTGGGAAGATTTCCCATGACTTGCGACGGAGTCGTGTCTCTTTCGCGCATACAAATGATACAGCGATGTATGATAGCTTTGGCAATACTTCGCGCGCGCATAATCCAGAAATCTAATCTGAAGGTATTCAACGCAGGTTGGAGCCCAGCGAGCAACGCTCGTATATGAGCGTGCTCAACAATAAGTTTGACCAATGAATGTGATGTGAGAAGGATAGGATGTCGGGTGGAGAACGGAATGGGTGCGTTTCCCAGCCGCCCGTCAACGCGAAGTATACCGTCTTGATCTAAAAACGGGCGCAGTGAAGCAATTGAATTTTTTCAGACAGGTTGTGATTGGTGGCAAGCGCGCGTATCTCGGATGAAAATAATTCAGCCTAAATGTGCTTAATCCAAAAGGTTTTCGCCTGTCCGCACTCAGTCGCCGTGAGAGCGTGACATTGAGGCATGGATGACGGCGCCTCATCATAAACACGCCGGCATCGAGATATAAATCGAAATATATACGCACTCTCAACAATTTACACGACGAAAAACGAGACGCGAGATCGAATGTTTCTATCTGCGGAGCGATATGCACCGCGATTTTTCGTTCCTCAAGAGGGACAGTGGCAGGAAGACACGGATAATGTTTGGGCCACTCATCTCGAGAATAGCGCAACCATACTGGACCATGCCACTACAACGAATGACCCAGGAGTTCACTTCCGAGCAACCCGCGAGATGCACAATCCGCCGGGTTGTCGTCAGTGGGAACGTGCAGCCATTCGTCGAGCCCGTCCAAGAACACGGCATAGTCGCGATTTTAAATGAATTACGAGTGAACTCAATAAGTCGAGAGAGCAGTACTGCAGCTGAAAACTCCAACCGAGGAATACTGAGGAGAGTCAGAAGCGCAACTTTTGATTTATCAGCGAGTAAAATGATTTTTATATCACCCGAATGACTCACAATCTTCATATAGACTACTGCCGAGTAAGCTACATTTGACGCGTCGACAAAACCATGAGCTCGGCGTGATGAACGTCGGAGCCGAGTCCCACCCATCGCGTAAGTTTAATGCCGTTGAGGGAAGAAAAACTAGAATAAATAAGCGTCCAGCGCAGCAAGAGTACTTCTGAAACGACATCATCCCAGCCATGCTTTTCCCGCCAGAGTTGTTGCATAAATACCTTTGCCGCAATAGTGGCTGGAGTGACCCATCTTAAGGGGTCATATAATTTAGCGATAGCAGATAAAATTGCACGTTTGCTGTCGGGAATTTTCGCGGTTAACGCGATTCGTATTTGAAACGCGTCGCTAGACGGATTCCACTCGATACCGAGGATTTTTATTCTATCGTCCGCGGAGAGAAACTTTGTGCAAGCCAATCCGTAGTCATCGGCATCAATATCAGAGAGGAGCCGAGATGAGTTGCTTGCTCATTTTCTCAATTCGAATCCGCCACGGCGAAGTAATGCGACTAATTGAGTTCGAGTCTCAATCAATTGATTGATGTCGTTATCCCCGAACAGAACATCATCAACATAGATACCGCCGCGCAAGATTTGAGTAGCAAATGGAAAATGTTCCCCCTCGTCCGCTATCAGCTGTTTAATAACGCGTAAGGCTAAGAATGGAGCGCAAGCCAATCCGTATGTGACGGTAAGAAGCTGATATTCTATTGGCGAAATATCAGACGGATTCTGCCATAGGATACACTGGTAATTGATGTCTCTTACGTCGAGTTGAATTTGTCTGTACATTTTTGCTATGTCGGCGGTATAAACAAACTGGAACCGTCGCCACTGTAAGATAATTGCCGACAGGTCCGTTTACAATTTCGGTCCGGTAAATAGATAGTTGTTGAGACTCGAGCCGTTCGTCGTGAGACTTGGGGCATTGAAAACAACGCGCAAATGTGACGTGACACTGTCGTCTCGGAGAACAGGATGATGTAGTATGAATACACGTTATTTATTTGAATTGGACACAGTCGGCGCTGGGCGCATATGACCTAGTCGCTCATATTCATCGAGGAAAGCGACATACTCGCAAGATTGTTTTGAATTCGTATTTAAACAAAAATTTAAGCAATAAAGAAATAAACAATCGTTCCGCCCGGCACCGAGAATCTCCAATATCAATAGGAGGATCGGTTTTAAACGGAAGACGAACAATGTACCGTCCGTCTGGAGCTCGAGAATGCGTTGAAAGAAAATGTTCCTCGCATTTTTCGTCTTCCGATGACAAAATTGTTTTCTGTGGAATTTCTTCCACTTCCCAAAATTTTCTAATTTCATCGTCAATAAAACACGAATTGTGACAATGATGAACTGGTATAAGTGCTTCCATTCCGCGATCAGCGTCTCGTGATAGGCGATTAAGTCATGAGTCGAATCCGGTTGGGCCCGAAATCATCCATCCGAAAATTGAGTTTTGCGCGGTCGGTTGTCCCCATTTGCCCTTCTGACGGCCATCAAGGATAACTTCGTTATAAATGTCCGCACCAAGAATAAGATCGATAATATGGGAACTGGAAGGGTCTGGATCGGCCCATGGTAAATTAGCGAGCTGCGAAAATCCTGTGAGATCCGCGTTTGTTTTCGGTGAATAAAACGTAAGAGTTTTCAAGATAATCGCATCAGTTGAAAGCGAGGGCGAGGTAGAATCACGCGGAGAAACCGAGATTTGAACTTTATGCCGAGCGTGAACTCCTCCGACGGCCGAAATCGAAATCGGCATGCGAACGCGCTTTACTCTTAAGAGTTGAGCCAAATTTTCAGACATAAACGTCAGTTGTGAGCCCTGATCGAGCAAAGCTCGAGCCACGGTGGTGCGACCGGACGATCCACTAACTGAAACCCAAGCAGTCACGAAAAGCACCCGCGGGTGCGGTTTTGGAATCGCAGAAGCACAAAGTGACTGAACTGCTGGAGTTCCGCTATTTTCATCAGTTTGCGATGGTCATTCGGTCGTCGGCGCCTGAACGGAATTGTTCAAGCAGGAGTCCGAGCCTGTATGTAATAAACTGTGATGACGCTGGTGGCAAATGCGACATGAGTAACGACTCTTGCACTCACTAGCCGAATGATGTTGACTCAAACAGGTGAAACAGCGACGATGCTGCTTCACTAAATCGCTCGTCGTTGGCTCGGACTTCCGCGAGTGAACATAGGACAAACACTGAAGAAATGTCGCGCCTTGCATATCGGACATGCAGATTGTGCGACAGTCGACGCAGTCGCGACGTGCACCTTTAGAGCAATAATAGGCTTTGAAGTCGATCTACTCGGGGTTCCGTCTGCAAAATCCTCGAGAGCACGGATGCGAGATAGTAAAAATTAATATAAATCGTCGTAAGACGGAGGCTCGTCATGATCACTCGACCGAACATTCCACACCTTGCGTGTAATTGAATCTAATCATTGAACAATGACATGCACAAGTATGTCGTTCCAGAGTTTTTCCGGAGTACGGTGCAGCGAATTTAATGATGCCACGGTAATATTAATTTGATCGCACAGAGCTTGCAGATCATATGCCGACTCTCGAGGTATCGCAGATAACATAAGTAACGCGGAGATGTGCCTGAGCAACCGACGCTTGTTCTCGAACCGGGCAACCAACGCGTCCCAGGCGATTACAAAATTGTCCGCAGTGACGGGGATATTCCCAATGCACTCGAGCGCACGTCCTGTTACGCAGGACGTTAAATAATGCATGCGAACAAAATCAGAAATATCTTTATTGTGAAGAATAAGAGTCGTGAAACGATCGCGAAACTGCTCCCATTGATCGTAACTGCCGTCGAATGGTGGCAGACGAATGGGAGGCAACTGTGCACAAGAGTGCGTTGACGGATTGATGCTTTGACGCGACGGATTCAGAGATGCACTCGGACTTACAGGCGGCATAAGCTCCTCCAAGCACTCGGTCATGTAATCGTGAGCCGTCTCGTACGCCTCCTCCACCGAATCGAAATAACTATCCCTGAAGTAATCGAGGGCCATCCGACTAGCCTCGGGTGTCATCGTGGCCAGGAGAGCATGTCCGTCCAGGAATTGATTCCAAGATTCTTTAAGAAGGGAGATTTTAGACCGAACCTTCCCGGCCGTGAAGTTGTTTCTTCCAATTTTTTTAAAGTTCTCGAGCGAACGCTCAATCAACCGCTTCAGTTGAAGTTATTTATTTAGCGGTTCCGCCATGCTGGATGACAATTTCCAAGCTCGATCGGGTTACAGCCTCAGAACTCTTCATCTTCTCACTCGTGCTCCGTATCCGGCTCTAAGGACCAAAATGTTTCCGATCCAGGTTAGGAAACCTGAATCTCGCTCTGCTGGAATCGCCCAGCACTGAGCGCGGATGCACGGGAGACACGAATCTTGTATTCGTGCCGCGGATTGGATGATAAGCGATACTCAAAATTGAAGAACACTGACAAGGAGAGTGTCACAACTGTCCCTCACCGATTTGAATGGGCTTCGGATATATTGTAGAGCATCAAAAACTAAGGGATACATATTTTTTTATATCGGCTTCGGAGCATGTTTAGAGGGTGAAACCACCCCTTGAAAAGAATAGCCGTTATAGTTTTTATCAAATATTTTCTAAACTATGAGTCATATAAAAAAAAGTTTCAGACAAAAGTTTTGCAATATTTTATGCTCTTTGCAACCATGTGTTCAGTTTTTTTTAATTTCAAATGTTGAACTACTCCCCCCCCTCTCTCGTTACTCTGGCAAAATTTTCAAGTTTTTTTAAGGACAAAAATTGTAGAGCATTAAATACCAAATCCATCCATATATAATATTAGAAAATGGTATTTCATATTTTGGACAAAACGCAATGAGAAAACTTCATGGTATATGTGCCGCGCTCCCCGAGTAGATACGAGGTGTGGCTATAAAATAACGAGACTGATGCTTCCACAGAAGAAGCACGGGTGCGCCAAACGCGAACGACCGACAGCTGTGTAGCGTGAAACCTTCTCTTTCGAATGCGGCGCCTGCCGTGTCTGTAAACAAATTAGTCTGGCCGTGGCCTTCGTTTGTATAAGAGCTGTTGTTTTGTTTTGCCGGAAAAATGGTAAGTGTAAAAATAGAGCAACGAATCGTCGTGAAATTTCACATGAAACTTGGAAAAAGCGCTACTGAAACTTATCTTTTATTAAAAGAAGTGTATGGCAATGAATGTTTATCACGTGCGCGAGTTTTTGAGTGGTATAAGCATTTCTAAGCTGGCCGAGAAGACATTGAAGATGATTCACGCCCGGGTCGCCCTTCCACGTCAAAAACGGGTGAAAATATTGAAAAAGTCGGTAATCTGATTCGATCTGACCGTCGATTAACTATTCGTGCGATTGCTGAAACTGTAGGAATTGACAAAGAAACCGTAAGGCAAATTTTACATAAAGAACAAGTCATGGGTTCTCCATCAAGACAACGCGCCGCTCATTCTGCATTGTCTGTCAAGACGTTTCTAACCAAGTACAACATCCCAGTGTTATTCCATCCACCTTATTCGCCAGACCTTGCACCATGCGACTTTTATCTATTTCCCAAGATCAAATCTGCATTAAAAGGAACAAGATTTCAGTCCGTTGAAGCTGTAAAAGAAGAAGCGGCACGCGTCATGAAGAAGCTCATAGAAGAAGACTTCCAGCACTATTTCGAACAATGGAAAATTCGCATGGAGCGTTATAGGGATAGAGGAGGGGTGTATATTGAAGGTGATAATAATTAAAAATGTATAAATTCAAAATAAAATGTTTTGCAGCAATAGTCTCGTTATTTTATAGCCACACCTCGTAGATACTGTAAGTATGTACGCTGTGATATTTCTTTGCAATTGCACTATGCTTCACGACTGCTTGTACATATTTTCTTATACTATAATCGTAATGATATGATATTAGTCTCACGATACTCAATTGTGTTAATGATTTTCTATATGTTAACTTATGAAGTTGTGCACGTAGCTCTGCATGGCAATCTTCATGATTTTGACAAAAACAATAACACTAACAATTCAAAATCATGAACGTTGTCATATAATGTTCCATATGCAACTTCATAAAAGTTAGCCTATAGAAAATTATTAACACAATCGTGAGACCTTTACAGTCCTTTACATAAAATAAACATGTGAGCAAAGATAAATCGCATATATAACAACGTAGCAAATGCGTGTGGGGCGCACTATTTGTACAGAAATTTCAAATGTATTACTCAAATGTAATACTCGATAGATTATAATGTACCATCCTGTTTACAGAGTTTTCGAGATATATTTTAAGTCTTTCTGCCGTCTAGTACTCGTCACTCGTCCTTGATTTTTGAACGTGAACGCACGCTAATAATAGGCAATGTTTATTATATCTCTTATCGCACGCCAATAATGGTTATTGTTTATTATTGAACCACGTGCTCGATTTCATTGTGATTGTCTGTGTTTGATTCAGTTGGTGAACGATTACTTTGTTGAAGTTGTTTTTCTTGGCGAATTTGCGTTGCTCCTTATTTTTGTTTAACCTACAGGTGAATCACGTTTGTTATCAAGGTCATTGGGCGCTATAGGGTTTTGACTTTTCATACATAATACTTGCAAATAGCGGGGCTTCGGCGTTTACTGTTGGTGAGTAACGTTTATCTAGTCATGAAAACACTCAACTTTCGTTGACCGGATTCGCTGACGGAATATTTTATAAATCCTTCATTGTTACAAATAAGGACTCTACACAGACAAGTTCCGAATAACACAAACTTATATATATGCACGATACAATTATAAAATATATTATCTCCGCGATTCCCGAATGAACTATCACACAAATGTCACGAATTATAATTTTTATATTTTACTATTGAAAAAAGTCGAAAATTACGACTGGAACATACGTATGGATATTTGTAGATTTTAACTATGATTATTAAAAGTAAATAATTGACGCGCGATTAACAGCGTACTAGCTCAATTGTCTTTTTATTCTCGTTTATTTCCTGAATCACATATTTGTGAAATTTATGTTTATACTGCAATTTTACAGAAAAGTCAAAGTGAATAAAAAAGGGTAAACGCGTTATGCATGAAGGGCATTGAATATCTTGATAATATAACACAAAATTAAAAATATATTAACTAGATATACTAATATGTTTATTGTAAGACATTATTATATATGTGTGTGAATGAATTTTATATTATCGCTTAAATGTTATCAAATATGATTTCACCTATTTAACGCATAATATAATTCAATAATATATTATAAAATTTAAGATTGACAATTATATATACAATTAGAGGCCTGTAAAATTTTAAGGACAATTGTAAAGCGCGTATAACTAAACTAAAAAATGTTTTATATAATATTAATAAAAATTATTGAATCAATACATATGAAAACGTATTCGGTCATTAATTTGACAGAAATAAATTGTTAACAAAAAATTATCTCCTAAAATTTGAAACGCCAAGCTTCTGGCTCTCAGCTGGCTGGCGTCCAACTTTCAGCTTTCAGCTGGGTAGCGTTCAGCTTTCAGCTGGCTAGCGTCTAGCTTTTATATTTCGTATTCATTATATAAAATATATATAATATATAAAAAATATATATAATTCATTATATAAAATAAAAAAAGCATACGATCAGAAATAATATAACTTAATGTTTTAAGAACATAATAGTATAATCTCATTATGCCCAGACATGTGTAAGTTTGGATTATGTAATATAAAACGTTAGAGATAATTTGTGTTTGTACAAGAATTTGATTAAAATGACGAGAAAAAATGGTTTAATAACGTTAATGTTCATACGAAAACGAAGAAAGAATTTTGTCATAGTTTAACTTGTGTAAATATACGTAACAAATTGTAATAGAGATGCGAAGAACGTAGCAAACGCATTAAACAATTTGTAGCATCTTTCAACTAAAATTAATATGACAATTAATAATGATGTATGATAAGAGACATTTAACAGTAATAATGGCAAAACGTTTTATTGCATGACAGCATCTCCGTAAAAAGTTTCCGACCATACTCCATTATGCCCCGTGGTCTCATTATACCCCAAGTTCCCCTATCATTCGGGAAATTGTTTAAATATAATTAAATAAAATAATATTTAATTTGACATAATTATATATGGTTATATATATAATCTCATATATAAATTATATCATCTTATATATAAAAAAATTCAGCGTATGTATGTTATCCCCTTCCCCTCCTAAATCCCGCCTGACTCTCCGGCAGTATCCTCTTCCTCTCCATCTCCTCTCTCAGCCTCTCCGTCCGTACCGCCGTATATACCTTATTTATACGCTGTCTGTGTCAGCGTCACTCCCCTGTACTCCTTCACTCTCTTCCCTTCCCCTTCTTTCTGATCGGTACTACCACTCCCTCGCTCCACTCCTCTGACCAACCCTTCCCCATCCATACCCTCTCACATACTTCCCCTAACCGCCTCTGCACCTCTTGTCCCCGTACTTCCATACCTCGCTTGGTATTCCATCCCCTACTGCTGCTTTTCCATCTTTCAACCCTTTTATCGCTTTCTTTATCTCCAGCTTTATCCTCTTCTCTCCATCCTCTTCCCCTCTCCTGTTTACCTCCCTCCTTACTCTTCCCATCTCTCCCCCCAATATTTTCCTAAAGTATTCCTCCCACTCCTTCATCTCAATCCTCTCATTCTCCCCCTCCTCCTCCTCCTCTCCCTCTTTAGCATCTCCCAAATCTATTGTTCTGTCCTCACCTCCTCTAACTCCTTCACCCACCTCTCCCTTTGTTCCCTCTTCTTCTCATCACATATCCCCTTATACCTCAACCTCTCTCCTGTATTCTTCTCCCTCTCCTCCCCTTTTCCTCCATTCCCTCAATACCCCCCTCAAACTCTTTTCGCCTCTCTGCATTTCCGAGTGCACCCTTGCGCTCACCCGTGCACACTTGCATCCTACTCCCTCCCGCTGCCTCCCGCACTCTTCCCCTTTCCTCACTCTTCCTGCTTCCCACTAAACACCCTCGTCTTATT